AGACGGCGCCCAATGGCCAGCTCGTTCTCGACGTTGATCAAAAACGAGACGCCAATGTGAACCCGCGCCGCCGCTGCGTGGAAGACCTTGAATGCTCCCGCCTTCGCGGCCGAGTCGGCGGGGGCCCGCGTCTCCATGGCGCCGGCCACGTGGTGGCCAGCATCCTCGGGAAGCTGCGCCACCGACTGCAGCCTGCCTGGGATCATTGCCCCCTACAAGCGCCTTGGCGTTAGCCGGCTCGAGGTGGGGCGGGCCTAGAGCGACGCGACCTCCGCTCGCGACTGCAGCGGTGCTGATCAACCTCCCCCAGAGGACTTGCTGCGAGCCTCTGGCAGCTGGCCCGACCGACGGTCGGGGCGAGCCCCCCAGCCTCGGGGCAAAGACGTTGGGCCGCCGACGGCGCCAGGCGAAGTCGCGCCCAGTCAATGCGCGGCGCTGCGTTCACCATCAACCCCCACAGGTCGGCTTCGCTGGCCCAGCTGGTGACCCCTCCTCTGGCCGAGGCGGCATTAGCGTCGGCGAGCTCGTTCCTCGGGCCCGCCGTGCGTCTGGCCGCGTGGCGCCGCGTGCAATTGGTCAGCTGCGTCGGCGCCTTCAGGGCCCCGCCCAAGTACCCCGCGCGCGGCGCGCAATGCTCCGGCGAGGCCACCCCCCGACGTCGACCGCGCACTGGTCATTGGCGAAGACGTCGGCGGGGGCAGCGGGCCGGATGCGACCGCGTCCTCCCGCGCTGGCGCCGCTCGCAGGGGCCGGGGGACAGCCGCGATGGCCGCGCGGATCTCTGCAACTCCCAATGGCCGGGCGAACTGATCGGACAGCGCGGGCGCCGCCTCGCCCGCGGTTAAATCGGAAACTTCGACTCCTGCCCCCAGCGCGTCGACGCGGCGCCGAAATCGGCGCCGGCAGCGCTGGCGCCATCGGCAGAAGGGGAGGTCGCGCCGAAGACCGGGCGCTTAGGATCGGGGCGGCCCAGAGCGAAGCGAAGATGAAGGATGGGAGAGACGGGGCGGGCGGGGGGAGAGAGAGCAGACGCAAGGCCAGAAGAGGGGGGCGACGAGAATATACGGAGCAAGGCGGATGGAAGCGGGCCAACAACGGGAGACCCAGGATCCGCCGCGCGGGGCACGAAGTTCGCATCGCGAAACCACAGGCTTCTCACAATCAGAACTCTGAAACGCAAATCGGGGCTCTTCTGATCCGGGTCAATCCAGACCCAGGTCAGCAGAGAACCAAAACTGCAATGCAGGAACACATCCAACGGAAGTCTTCGCAAACCCGGGTCAGCCATACGAGCGGCCGCCTCGCGGCCACGAGCGGCTCGCTAACCCGGGCCAGCCAGAGGGGGCCTTCGCGGGATCCTGCAGGATCTGGCGCTCTGGCTGACCCCATTTGCACTGACCCCCGTCTCTTAGGCCCCGAGCAAACACCGCGCTATGCGGATGCCGGGCGAACGGAACTTCGCCCCAGGATCTCCGGGGGGAAGTCGGGCCCCCCTGGGCGAGCCGATCGCAAAACGCGCAGAGGGGGGCCGATCGCCGCGGGGTCGGGGGCAATCTCGCTGCCATCGAGTGGGGCTGATACGGTTGCAGCGCAACCGTTTGTCGCTAACACGGTCGCAGCGCTCTGGGCGAGGCGCGCGCCCGATTCGCGCTGGCACGCAGCTATCATCTCGCAGCCGATGGCGACTTTGCGGAGTGTCCTATGTGAGAAGCACTCGACAGGAGGCGCAAACTATTGCGGCGCGCGCGCTGCGAGGAAGAAGCAAAACCGTCGACTCAAGCGCGCAATGAAAATTAATCGACCGACCCCAGACCGGGGGCACAAGGGCGCGCGGCGCGGGGGTCGAAGTTCGTCGCCCGACAGCGTGCCCGGCAAAACCTGAGTGCCACCGCGGTGCAATCCCAGCGCCATTCGGCCCCGTGCAGGGGGGCCCCTTGAAATGCTGCGTCTCGGCACCTCCTGAGCCGCAAATGCAGACGTGCAGCGCCTGGAGCTGCGAGCGGCCGTCGCCCGCGCGCCCGATCGCGCGCTGGTCGAGAACTGCAGTCGCGGCGCCGTGGGCCCACTGCCCCGGGGACGTCGGCGGCGCCGCGCCGCTGCCCCGGGAGATGGGCGGGCGGCCTGAAGCCCGCGCAGCGCAGCTTGCGCGGTTGGAGGAGGCGAGGAGGACGGCGAGCTCCGCCGCGATGCCCCGGCGCGCGGAGCTGCGCGGGCAGGGGCGGCAGGGCCCCCCCCCGCCGACGCGGCTGAAAGATCCGATGCTACCGCCAACCGCGGGGGGCCCAGCTTCACTAGTCCTGCCGCGGCTGCCCCTGGCGACCTCAGAAACGCGGGCCGCGCGGGAACCTGGTCACGTAGGGCAGCCCTGTCACCATCGTCGTCGCCCGCTACGAGGTTGCTGGCATCCTGAGGCGCCTGCTAAGGCGGGCGGGCGGGCGCCTGCTCCGCGGCAATGTCCTGGCCCTCCTGGTCGCTCTGCACTTTGGTCGGCTCCTCGTCGTCGTCCGCGGCTGCCGCGCGGAAGCGCTGTCGGCGCCGGCCTGGAGGTGACTCGCCCCCACTGGTGAGGCGCTGCTGCCTTTCCCGCGCTGGCTGCTGCTGCTGCTGCGGGCTGGTGCTGCGCTGGCAGCCGCTGCAGCTGAACCGCCATTCGGCTGCCTGACAGGCCAGCGACTAGCTCGGCCATGCTGGCGGTCACGGTGGCGACATGGCTCTCCGCGGACGCCATGCGCTGCTGATCTGCTAGCGCGGCCGCCGCAGACTTGACTTCGGTCGGCGAGGGCGGCGTTCACTGAATGTCCCACTTAGCTATCTGCAATGGCGCATCCGTCTTCCATCTCCAAATCCTCTTCGTCAATGGGTATGGCGCCTCGTGGGCCGCACCCGCTGCCGCCGCTGGCGGTGCCCAGGCGCCCGGCTTCGAATAGGTCTTCCACTTCGGCCATCTGCGCCAAAAACTTTGTGTATTCAGAATTCCTCTGTGGATTGGCCGTGTCCGCCTCTGCCTCTCCGGCTGCCAGCGCTGCTGTCAGCTCGGCTTCCTTGGCGGCCGCGAGCGACTTCTTGGCCCTGCGGACGAGTCCTTCCTGCTTCTCAACGCGCAGGTCGGGGTCCTTGGACACGATCACCTTGCAACGCAGCGCCGCGAACTCCTTATCAGCCTTCAGGAGCCTCAGGAGGCTCTCGGGGCTCGCCTTGGGCATGCTACGTAGTGCCTTGACATTCTCGGAAGCCGCCGCCAAGGGCATCCTGAGCGCATCTCGATGCGTCTTCAGCCCTGCGCCAATGGGCGGCGGCGTGGCCCAGCTGCGCAGCTGGCGATCCTGGTTTGAAAGCGTCGGGCGATGCCCAAGGGTACCGTGGTCCCCGCGCGCCCCCTGAGCGGGCCCCCTTTGGTCTCGACCAAGGGCCTCATTGCTTGGGGCGGCCTCTACCCTCCCCGCGCAGCTCTGCAACCGCGGCACGTCTGGCGTGATGCGGAATTGTTTTGGCCACACTTCTGATCCGAGCAGCGCCGCGTGAGCTGCTGCTGTGATGCTGCAGCACGCCTGTTGTTGCTGATGCTGCGCTGGCCAGACATCGCGCGGTTGCTGTGATGCGCCTGCATCACGTCGCGCGTAGCCGCGATCCTTGCCAGGACTCGCGCGGCGTGGGGAGACCCGTGTTGCCTGGCAGCAGCCGCGCGGCTGCGGCGGGGTCCCGGCGCACGGCCGGACCCGCATGCCGCCACGGGCGCGGGCCGACGCGTATGGCACTTGTCCCGTGCGAGGCTCGCAGATACCTGGTAATGTACGGTTTCCCCCAGGGCCGTAGGCGACCCGAGGTGGAGGAGAAGGAGGAGGAGGAGGAGGAGGAAGAAGAAAAGGAGGAGGAGGTGGAGGAGGGGGAGGGGGGGGAGGAGCATATGGAGGAGGAGGAAAAGGAGGAGGAGGGGGAGGGAGGAGGGGGGAGGAGGAAGAGGAGTTTGGGAGAAACCCTCCACCTGGTATCTGGACCCAGAACCTCGAGCTTGGACGGCGGCTGAGCCAACAAGGACGGACAGGGAGGTGAGCTGAAGGCGGGATGCAGGCGGCGGGAGAAAAAAAGGCAGGATGAGGGGCGGCACGCGGCACCGTGGCCCCCTCGGCCCTGCCTGGCGCCGACAAATGGCATGTGATGATCCAGGGCGTCACGTCCCCCCTCCAATGCTACTGGGAAAACCCCCCTGTTCGTTGATGGGAACCCCCGTTCTTGTTGTCGTGGCCCTGTGGGCGCGTCGTCGTCGTCGTCGTCGTCGTCGTGGTGGTGGTGGTGGTGGTGGTGGTCGTCGTCGTCGTCGTCGTCGTCGCCGTCATCGTACCTCCCATCCCATCACGGATGGGGCTGCGAACGTGAACCCTGGGACCCATCCCATCGGCGGGGGGGGTGCTCTGAACCCTCGACCCTGGATCATGTGGTCCAAGCGCCCCCCCACCCGATGGGTCCCCCCCATTGGGGGTGCGGTGCGTCCCCTCCCCATTGGGGGGGGAGAGGGTCGGCATCGGCATCGGAAACGGCGACGTCCGCCGAAGTCCGTCGTCCGTCGTCCGCCGTCGTCGCCGTCGCCGTCGCCGTCGTCGTCCCCGTCATCCCATCCCATCTGGCGGGGGTGCCCACGAACCGTTTGGACCCCGCCCATCTGGGTGGTGGTCCCGTGAGCCTGGAGTCTGGGAACATGTCTGCCAAAAACTGAACCGAAATCGGGGGGGCGAAGGCTGGCGGGTGGTATTGGTTTCTCCTGACCTCCGTTTTCTCCTCGTCATGCGGTCCTGAAGGATGCACTGGGCACCGCGGCATTTCCAAAGCGCTCCAGACCGATTTGTGAGCGCCCGCTCTGGGACGTTCCGGAGCGATTTGTATTCATCCAGGGGCCCGCCTGACCTGCTCCTCCACACAATAAACGCCCCGAGTTCGAGCAGGAGGGGTTAGCCTGGGCCGGCTGGTCGCCTTGTCGGGGAGGGTTTGGCCCCCGCCCCGAAGGCCCGAACGCCAACTCCCCGTACTTTGTGCCGTACGCGAAGAGGACCGTCAACAACACTCCCTCGAGGACAAGCAGAGGACCCGGCGTCAGTTCCTGCCCTGCCCGTGATCATGAGACTCGGTCTTACACTGCGCCTTCATACGCAGAAAGGCACGAGAAAACAGCAAACATGCAATCGAATACCTTCCAGAGAAAAGCCGCTCTCGACGTGAGATTGCACCACTCTCTCCGTTGCCCTTGCCCTCATGCTGTCCCTCTCCTCCAGTTCCTCCATTTCCTCCTCTCCTCCCTGTCTGCACCCTCCCCCCTCTTCCTCTTCCCTCCAGTCACGCGTCCCTTCAAGCCCCTCGCTCTCGTTTCATTCAACTCCCTGCTTTGCTATTTGTTTGCTGGGCCGTGGGCGCTCTTCTTGTATTATCCTCCCTCTCCATGCCTCCTCCCACCTCGCCCAGCGAGCCGTGTCAGGCATGTATCGCAAGGGTCCGCAGCGCAACGATATGTGCTCATCAGACCTCCGAGCTAATCTTTCTTAGCGATCACTTCCCACACCTGCCAACACCGTCCGCCGGCGACGACCCCCTGCCAACGCGATCTGCGTTGCTGGACTTCGCGTTCCAGCGTGGAGCCAGACGCGACCATGAGCATCGTTTAACCGACCCCTATCCCCACTGGCATGGTCTGGGCCCCACTGGCCGATGTACCCCGATAGTTGGGGATCTGGGATGTTCCCTTCGGGTCTCGAGGGGCAGATCCCCGACTGGAGTGGTTGGATGGTGGGGATCGAGATGGCGATGGGGGTTATGGATCGGTTAAACGATACTGACGTGCGACCTCCTCCTCCTCCAGATCGCCCCACTCCTGAAAATCAAACAGTGGCTTTTGAAATCCTGTGAGACCCCTGAAAAAGGACCCCTGAAATTCTGCGAGACCAGCGCTGTGGCGCCAACCCCCTGGAGAAGGACAACTCTCCGAGCCGGACCGCGAAGCGCGGGGCGCGGATCACCGTCGTGCCGCGCGGGTGACCCCATCCAAGGCTTCCGCTCTCTGCTCGGAATCCATCCCTGGGCCACTCCCTGAAGCTGCCCCGCCCAGTTTCTCGACGCGCGCCCTGCGGCGGCTCCTGGAAGCAAAAAGTATCCAAATCAGTTTGCGGGCCCCTCCTGGCCGCCGCCCTGGCCAGCTCCTCGAGCTGCGTCCAGCTGTGGCCACCCGGGCCCGCCAGCGCGACAGGTCGAAATCAATCCCTGGGCCCCTCCTTGGGGCAGGGACCGACCGTCCAGGCACTCCCGTAGGCCTACCACGACATGCTCTTTGAATCAGGTCGGGCGTGTCCTCCTACAGGGCGATTTTGGACGAAACATAAAAATTAGTCCAAAAATGCACCAAAATTGAAAGAAATAATCAAACAATCGTCCCCCGACAATTTCTGCACCAATTTTGAATATTCCTCCTGTAGAAGGACGTGCCAGACTTACTCTTAGAACCAACGGATGCTCTTATCACAAAACAATGTTCTGCAGAGAGCAGAGTGACGATGCATTAAAACAATAAGACAATCTCAGACAGACAAGTTCTCAGAACACGTCGTGCAAACCGCGCAAGGTTCTCTCAGATCACTCTTTGGTGGGCTTGCGCGCAAGCCAAGACGCTTCGCCACTGCTAATTTCCTGGACCCCGTCCCGAGACCCCTCTTTCGAGCCGCGCCCGGCCGAGTCCACGAGTCGGCGGCGAGCGAGGGGGGAAATGAAAAGGAGAAGGCCTTCTCAGAAGTCACCCGGCCTTCTCAGAATTTTTCTAAGCCTTCACCGAAGACAGAAACACTTCTCAGAACGCGCAGGGGCTCCTGAGAAGCCCTGCCGCCTTCTCAGAAGGCCTTCTCCTTCTCAGTGTCCCCCCCCTCGCTCGCCGCCGAACGAGGACCCCCCTGCAAAGGTTGGCGCTGGCAGCGCTGCAGGTCTCGCCCGCGCCACGCCTCGGCGCTCCTCCGCTGCTGCGCTGCAGTCTGCAGCGCAGCGGGGCCTCGGCCCCCCGGCGGCGGGCGTCGACTGCGACGGTGGCGCCGAGGATCACGGCGAAGGACGGCACGCCGGGCGACGATCACGACGAGCGACAGCACGACGAACGTCGGCGGGCGTCGACGGCGACGGCGGCGGCGGCGGCGATCGCGACGAACCACGACGCGTCGGGCCGCATCCTCGCGCCGCCCGCTGGCGACCCTGCGCGAGCCAGAGCCGATTTTACCGCGGGCCGCACATGCTGGGCCACCTCCGAAGGGGTCCCGAGGGCGGTCGGGGGGAACGAAAGGGGGGGGATAGCAACGGGTGGGGTAGAGAATCAACTCACGTAACTGATTTTCCCAGCGCCTCCCGGCGCCGGGAGGCGCCCATGTATCGAGGAATGGGACCGGCGGCGGGGCCGAAACCAGCTGCATGCAGCGGATTTCGTAACCCCCCCTTTCCCTATCCCCCCCTTTCGTTCGCCCCGAGCAGTGGGGTCAAACCCCGAGCGTGCAGACCGCTGCTGTCGCATCGCATTCAGCGATCGGGAGGCCATGAATGGGCCCGCACCACAGTCCGGCGAAGGGTCACTCTCACGCGTGGTCGAGGCGAGGGGGGCGGCCCCCTCCCTGCACGCAGGAGGCACTCGTGCACCACCGCCGTGCCTGGCCAGGGCCCACCCTGGCCCCCGGCATGACGCAGACGTTTTTTTGGCCGAGGCGAGGAGGGTCTGTGCAGCAGCATCGAGGGCGTTAGCCAGGCATGGCGTGGTGATCAGATGACCCCTGCGGGCTCTACGAGGGCGGGGCTGCCCTGAAATGGGTCGGTCCCTTCTCGCGAGCTTCCGAGAAGGCTTCCCAGAGAGGCCTGCCGGGCTCATGAAGAAGCCCTGCCGTCTTGGAAATCTTCTGCCCCCCTTCGCCCTGCCCCCTTGACCCCCTTGCGCACGCAGCCGGCGCATCTCAAGGACATGGAGGGGCAGCAAGCCCTGCGAGCGAGCACCTCGCACGAGGGCGGGGGAGGACCGCGGTCTGCCATGACGTTCTGGGGGCTCGTCGCGTCGTGGCTGGATCCGAAGACCCACCCCGAGCCGCGAGCACTCCCTGTCGCGCGAAAGAGTCGATCTGTGGAGGAGAACGGTTCGCACAACCACGGACCGTCGACATCGTGAACAGGCGCAGTCAGAATAGTCGTAAGTACTGCCTGTCCCTATCACATGTAGCTCGAACGCTCCTGGAGCCCGTATACTACCCACAATCTACTCATGGGCTCCTGGCCAACGGGTTAGACCTGCTGCCTCCTATCACATGCTTTCGCCAGCTTGCACACCTCATGACATGTGCAACTTTCAACTCAACTTGGACCCTTTGCCACAATCCCGCCCAACAATATCCTCTGGTGATAATGTCGAAATCCGGCTCGGATCAAAACTTGGCTTCTGCTCATCCACATCTAAGTCCGAAGATCCGTCCTTCGAGAGCAAATGAATACCAAACATCAACAAACACATGCGTCGGCAACAATGACCAAACAAGAACGCATCAACGAACTGACACTTCAGGAAGGACTGAATATGCCCCATGAGGTGTGACGCGAACACGTTGTACATCCACCGATTGGGGGCACCTGAAAATTCGCACCTTCCCTTTCGCAACCCACTTGTTTCCATTTGCCCAATTCCTTTCATACCCACCCACCCCCCTCCGCCAATTCATTCTCACTCTCCTCCTTCCTCCTTCTCCTCCTCCTCCTCGTTCTCCTTCCCCTCCGACTCCTCCTCCTTCGCCTCCTCCTCCTCCTCCTCCTCCCCTCCACGCCCAACGCTGGGCCCCACAGCAGTCCGGACCACCAGAACATCCAATGCCATGGGCGATTGAAGAGAGAGGAGGCCTGTCAGAGGAGGCGAGTGGGCGGATGAGGAGATGGGGAAGGCAGCAGAGGAGGATGCAAGGGGGAACGGCTATGACGAAGAGGAAACACATGATGGGGGAGGCAAGCGACGTGGCATACTGACTAGAACGAGCATACCAACGATGTTGCATCCCGCCGTCCCTCGCCTGAATAAACCCATTAGACATACACAGCCACCCAACGGGCGTCGGGTGATTAAGAGCCTCAGGGATACGGGTTGACATGTCATGTGGGTGATGACCTCTGTATATACAAGTACGCATACAACACGCATTGATACATATCGAGCTGCAGGGCCACCAGGGGGGATCCATCCAACGAACATGTGCTGTATCACGCTCTGATTGTGCAAACTATATTGTGCAAGCTACAAGTGATACAAGATATGCTATGCATTCTATGTGGCACAAGCCACGTAGCGAAAATAGGTGGAACACTATACGTGGTGCAAGCTTTGCGGTACAAAATTAGATGTACTTTGAAAATCAGGTGGTTGCAGCGTGGTGCAAGCTCAGTGGTGTAGGTGGTGCAGGAGATGTGATACAAGCTATGTTGCGCAAGCTATGGGGTGCAAGCTACGCGGCGCACGCTCGTTTGACCCAACTGCGGTGCAGAGTATGCGATGACTATGTGGCGTGGAACCACCTGAAACGCCAGCGGGCGGGCACATAACGAAAATCCGACCCCCACCCCCACGTGAGCGTTTTCTTATTCGGCGTTTCGACATTGGGCGGAAGGGGGAAGGGGGCGGGTCTGGCTCCGGACCTCTGCTGAGTGCGACTGTTTGCGACAGGGCGTCCAATGGGGGAGACTCCACCTGCTCGAAGCATGCGCCAAAAACAGCCAAGATCTACTCCATGGGAGGGGGAGGGGGGGGTGCGCGGGCCCGCACCGACCGGCAAAACTACGAATACGAAACAATCGAGGCGCCAACGAGGCGCCCTCGGGCGTGCACAAGGCGAACACCCACGGGTGGGCACTGGGCGAAGGCCCGCAACATCAACCCCCTTGTGCAAACCAGCGCGTAGGACATCATGCGTGAAAACACTGCTGGGGAATCTCGATTCCTCGCTATCACCGGTAAGCCATATGCAAGCAGCTATACAATTGCAGCGATGTAGCCATAGGTGATGATGCGTGCAAGTCGGCAAACATGATGTACCGATTCTTGAATATAGACTTTCACGTGCAATTACACACCTGTGAATTACATGTACGGGGACATGTTGTTGGTTCGTGATACAAACGCCCCAGTTGCCAACTACTCAATGGTCCACGTGCCGACTTACACAACACATATAAAATAACGACTTACACCTCCGCGCCCAACGGCTCGTTGTGCGTAAGGGGTGTGTCAGCCTTCGGGCCGACACTGATCCTAATTGATTGGAGGCCTCGGCCAGCCTTTGAAGGCGACCGAATTCTACTTTGATCGTGTCGAAATTAAAGAGCAGCCGTGGCGACGAGTGTCGGGCCCAGAGTCGAGACGTGTAATGCCTTACGACAATTTGTACTGGCAGCCCGGCGGTGACAAACGTTGGGACGCGGGGCACCCGTTTGTCCCATCACCCGCGCGGGACTCAGATGCTGCAGACGGCGATTCTTCTCATCGACCCTCGGAGGAAGGAGTGAAGACGGAGAGAGAAAAAATAGAGAGAGAGAGGGACAGCAAGTGTCATGTACGTATTTGCACATACAAGTACACATGTGTATGTATATATATATATATATATGTATATATACACACGCGCGTGTGTGTATATACACACATATGTATAAACAAAGAGGGAAAGAGAGGAAGAGATAGAGAGAGAGAGAGAAAAAACGCGGAGTGAAACGGAAAGGAGAGTGGGGAGTACCCAGTCGGACCGAAGGATCCGTGGGGGTGTCGGTGTCTGTTTGGTGTAGCTGTTTTGTATTTGCTGTGCATTTGCTGTGAATTGGTATTTTGTTGTGCACTTCTGAAAGTTGGGGCGCGACAGAAGTGCAACCAAAAAAAGGCAAAACGTAGGCACCCAAGACCTCCGCGAAACTGACCCGTCGAGCGCTGCTGCTTGGGGCGCTGCGTCCAATCATGTTCACACCAAAACCTGCCAAAGTAATTGCCAATGACATGGTGAAACGTCGAAGGTGAAATGACCGCAAGACGCGCGGCGCGCAAGGATGAATGGGGGGCGCGAGCACGCCTGCGAACCCTGGCGCGGTGTTCCATCACAGGTAAGCCGCGGAGACTGGTAACAATCGTTGCTCCCAGCATCGGGCCACAACCGCAGCAACATGCGTTGCGATATTCCCAATCATCACGTATCGCGCTACCACGTCCAATATTATTTTCCTAACAGAAAAAACAGTCCGCGAGCCGCCAGTCTCTACATGCGAGGCCACGGGGTACACGCGCTGCCTCGCAAGGCCTCGGTATGCTTTTGAGCCCGCCCTTAGAGCTCTTACCTCGGCCAGAACTCTTGAACGGTGAGCGGCTCCTGCCTCCTCGCGAAGGCACTGACGTCTGGTCCCGCGTGGAACAATAAAACTACAATCTACAAACGTTGCTGCGAGAAAGCCCCTGCTCTTCCTATGAGTCCCGTTAGGTGTTCCAGGGAAAGAGCTAGTCTTTTCACACTTGCTATCACCACTATTCGAACGTGGCTGTGGCCCGCTTCGGGAGTTGAACTTTACAGCTGGCGCACCCGACGTGTTTGATGTGGGCAAACCTGCATGTTCGCAATACATACAGCTGTTCTTGAGATGGAAGGAGCACGTTTTTCTTTTAATGCGGGTCTTTAAAACCAGGCTTACTGCATGTTCCATCCATAGCGTAAGCCATACAACACTTCTGAGGCTTACCAACGTCGAATTGGCCCGCCGCGAGATTTGTCTTGCCGCATGTGATATGTAGAGGGCGATCCCACAGGGGATCCATCGTTTTCATGAGCAGAGAAGCTTCCTCGTCGTATTCAATCGCTGCCTGGACCTCTGCTTTCTACAATAGTATTTGTCCCCTTGTTGCACTTGAACGTCTCTCTTCTGCACGCTGATGCTCTCTGCCGTTGCAGGAGCTTCTAGCACCTATCAGAAAACGCATTGGACAAAGTATTGGGAACGCCCCCGTTCATTCGGTAGTGCGTGCCCATGTCGGTCTCCATATCGCGATGGCGTTCTCCTCGCGACCGTAAGAAAGCCTGTAGAATATCCAGTGCCAACGGGGTATTATCATGATTCGCCGCTGTTCGCACAAAAGGGCGCACGCGCCTGGGGACTGGTGATGGTTGCCCAACCAAACAGGCATCTGTAGAACCGCCTCTGGATAGTGATCGTCAACAACCCGTGACCATTGGGGACCATGTACCCAGCCTCATACTGATCCCGCTCAGGTCGCGGCTTCGTTGTGGGTCCTGTCCGGATTAGCACTATGGAAGCCACTGCTGTTCCTGCACTTGGTTACAATTTGGCGCTGACTGCTTCGCACCCGTGCGCGTTATCATACAGCGCTTGGGTTTCGCCCTGCACATCGAACAGCACACACTTTCGCATACCAACCACGCAGGCATTCACGGAACATTGTCCATCTGCACTATCCAGCATCTCTGGGGCAATTTTAGAAGATTGGATGTATTTCGGAAGCTTCGCGTCGGCTCCGAGCCCAAATTGTGGCAGCGAGCTCCACTTGCTGAAACAATGTGTGGTTCTTTTGCGACAGAATCGGAACGCGCTTTTCTAACGTTTGAACGGGATGCCGCGCTTCAATTAGCTCGAGCACGTCTTGCAATCGTTTGTCTTGGAACAAAACATCTACTGCATTGGTGCGGACGACCAGCCGGAGTGACCTACGGTGCGGGCTCACCGGGGTCCCCCAGACCGCTCGGCGCGATGCGATAGTGATTGCGTGCGCGCTTGGATTTGGTCACCTTGCGCCCCGAGGAGCGGTTTGGGTCTTGGCATCGCTCGGACGTGTGCATGTTTCTAGGCGGGGACGAAGTGATTCTCTGGGTCCGTCACTCGTTCGTCCGTCTCTCTGGCTCGGGCGCTAGCCGTTTGCAGTAAAAGCTCGTCGGCGGCCGCGCGCAAGCCATGATGCTGCGGACGGCGAATCTCCTCATCGTCGATCCTCGGAGGAAGGAAGGGCGGGAGAAAACGGAACGGTTGGAGGACCCAGACGGACCGAAGAACCTCCTCGAACCCAAGAAGGGGTTCCGCTCAAAACGAAAATTCGCCAGATCCAAAGTAAAACAAACGTTGAAGCGCAATCGAATGAAACTCACAAGGCGGACAACACGCATGTAAAAATTAGGCGTCCCCGCACAATTCCACGTGCCCTCCCTGAGCGGCCGGTCGCGTCATTAAAGCTCTCCTACACTGTCGAAAGCCTTCTCGGCGGCCCAGAACGGCCACCAAAGCCGCTTACATGGCCATCGTTGCCTCACCAGGCATCAGTACCCTCAGAGGCAGCACTGGGTTTCTGAGACACTGGCCGAACACTAAAGCAAAACACAGCATGCCCTCTGGCAGCGCCAAACACAACGACGCACATGCTTTATTGCATTTCAAGACCCTAGGCTGCCCAAGCGCCGCTCCCGAAGATGCTTCCAAGAGCTGAACATTATCCCGATACTGGGGAATGTTTCGCGCCGAATCCAATACATCCAGGCGCGTGACGTGGCATCCTGCGCACGCGGGGATGCGCAGTCCACGTCGGCGCCACGACCCCGCTGTTGATAGACGTAGGTGCTGGAAAACGTCCCCCCAGGAAGGCAGATCGTACTTCACGCTGGTCGGGGCGAGCGACGTGCGATGTTTCAGGTCTGATGCTCGCGGCTGGGGCAACTGGGAAACAGCACAGTAACAGCATGACACTGATGCTGTGGACCCTCGTAAAATACCCGATTGCCCTTTACCATCGGGGGGAGACGAGACTCTGTGAAGCGGTTGCGCGTGAGCAGTGATACGAGGCGCGGGAAGGCCAGCGCAGCGGTCATGCTGCGTGACGTCTGTTGATATCATCCCGGGGGAAGCCCCACCCCCGACGGCGGCACCCGCAGCAATCCCAGGCAGGCGGGATGCTGGGACCGGGGGTCGGGGTGCGATTTCGGTGGCCTTCGAGTCAGGCGCTCTCGAGCTTGGCCTGCTCCCAAAAATCTGCCCCCCGATCGCGGCACCCTTTCGGAAAGATCGGCCGCACCTCGCGGGAGGGAGGGAGGGAGGGAGGGAGGGAAGAAGGGGGAGAGGGAGGGAGGGAAGGAGGGAGGGAGGGGGGGAGGGAGGGAGGGAGTGGGGGAGGGAGGGAGGGAGGGAGGGAGGTGGTCGGGAGTGATGGTGTCACTTTGGGCTGCGAGTGTGTAGGCGGAGCATCGCAGCGGCGCTGCATAATGCATTCAGAGTACTTGCACGGACATTCGGTGAAGACACCTGACCATCCCTCGCCCCCCCCCCCCCCCACACTCTGCCTCTCCTACTTTTCCTTGCCTCAACTTCCTCATCCTCCGCCAACGCCTGGAAAAAATGGCGACATGACGGACGACATCGCTAAACATGAGGCCCTGGATGCCCCCCCCCTGGTAAAGCTAAGCGCCATAGCACAACTCGGGAGGTGAATGTGGAGAGGGGGAGGGGACACGGGGAGGGCAAAAGAAGGCAGATGGAGAGGCATGAATGCCTGTAGCCTGTAGCCCCTCACTCGCCCAACTCCGAAACCTTCGGCAACCTTGGATCATCCTCCCTAGCTTGATATCGGCTGAGTATAGCTCCATGAGAACTTGCTGTCCTCAACGCTGTCCCGAACATCTGAGAACATGATTACCATCATACCGATCAATCCACACTACCTCTGGGCACCACCATCCCGTTCCGATGCAGCTCGACTAACCCACAGAACACGTGAGGGAAAGGTCGAATCCTTCCCACCCGTAATATTACCCCACGCCTTGCCGAGCGCAGGTCGTGGATCCAACTCAGAAACAGTCCAACCGTTGGAAACAGCGATGCGGAAAGCAGCGATGCCCAGCGTAGTGTTGCCGACGAACGTGAAGAGCGCCTTCCGCACCACATAAAACAACTGCTCACGACACGACGGCACGTGCAACCACATGCTTCGAACGAGAACGCACACACACACACACAGCCACACACACAACCACACACACACACACACCGAACTGCATGCACAAACTGAACCTCAACACCATGGCCTCCAAAGCATGCCGGGTTAGAATAAAACATGAACGCGCCACCACGAAAGGCCACTAACATAACAGGATTGCTGATCCGTGTCAGATGAGCTGTGCAGTGTGAGTACGTGAGTTAGCTCGCACACGGCGTGGTCTTCATACGATGGCGTTTGCCGATGGGTATTGCCCTGGGTGCTCATGCCAGGTGCCCACCACGGCGCTACGCAACGGTGAGCGTGTTGAGCACTTCGTCTGCTTGCAATGTACTGCTCCTCGCGAAATAACGGTTCAACTCTCAACCACGCATACACCAAAATGTGTCCGCTTTTAGCCTCGAGGCTCAACGATTGCGGCGTCAATTGAGAAAGACTCCAACAACCATACGTTGGACGGGAATGCCTGCATCCCTCCCCAGGATCATTTCCAACGACATCCTGACATATCGCGCGCGGGCCCCAAGACGACCGATGGCCCGTGGATTACGCCACCGAGCTAGTCGGCGCAACACCAGCAGCGACCGCATCTCGCCATGCCACCATACGCCCACCAAACTCTTCAAGACAACCCCAAGACCCTCAGACACCACCAAACAACGCCCAAACGCTCCGACGATGTATTCCCAAACGCATCCGCAACACGCCTCAAGAAGCTCGCAAGAGACCCCAAAATAATACGTTCTGGCTTACCCCACCGCGGGGGTCAATATGGCCGCCAGACAACATTCAGACCCTCAGCAGGCTGAGCCGCCCAAGACGGCTTGTTTATGAGGAACAAGCAGTACGCAGTGCACTTGCTTCATTCCCCCTGTTTGGAAAGTGGAGCGCTCTTTGTTGCTGTCAGCTGGTCACACTTTCCCAGAAGGCAACTGATCCCGAAACTGATTGGGCGCATGCGATTCAAGGGGCCCAAGGACACACAGCCAAATACACACAAATAACCGCTTTCCCCATATTTTCCCATATGTTCTGGGTTGTCGTGTTCCCCCCCATATCTCCCCACATTTTCCGATATGTTCCTGGGAGTCGACGATTCATTGCGTCTGTGTGTTTCTGCCCCCTGCTGAGCGATTACTGTATCGGCTGGGAGCCCGCGCGCACGCAGAATGCCCTGAGGCCGCGCGTGACCTCGTCGGCAAGATTGGATGGCTGGCTCGCAGCGCTTTCACGCGTGAAGCTCTGACCGAACCAGCTCGTGAGCGTTCTCTTACCCGGCGTCTCGACATTGGGCGGAAGGGCAGGGAGCCCACGGAGGACGTGCGCGCCCAACCATGTACATGAACACGGCCCATCAATCCGCGAGACCGTCCGCGTGATACAAACATTCGCGCAATGCATACTCTCGAAACCAACGTGGAGTCATGTATTTGTACGTCCTTCTCTCGCTCCTGAAAAGGGGAGGGAGGGGGGGCGTCTGGCTCCGGACCTCTGCTTACCACGACTGTTTGCAACAGTGCGTCCTATGAGGGAAGCCTCCACCTGCTCGAAGCAGGCGCCAAGAACAGCCAAGATCTACTCCACTGGGAGGGGGGGGAGGGGGGGGGGTGCGAGGGCCCGAGCCGATCGGCAAACAAATTAATAAAACAACGACCACCCCCCTGGATTGCACGTATCCCACAAGACGGCGAAAATGCGTTCGTGAAGTCCTGCTTGCAGACGCAGAGAGCGTCCATTTCCTCACTCCCTTCTCCCTCCCCCTCCACTCCCCCGTCGCACAGTGCCTCAAAGCTTGCTCACTTCCCTTGCGCCACCAGGTCGCACCGATCTTTCCAGATCGATCCCGCCGTTCACGTGCAAACCATTCAATTTGACCTGGCATCTGTCAACCGAGCCTTCCAAAACAAGCGGGCCCAATATGGCTTCATACGGGTCCGAGACAGCATCCAGGCCCCCGTGATGGCCCCTGTGCACCCCCGAATTGCCCAATACCCTCCCTTACACGACCCCAAAGCCCCCCATGATAGCTTCAGGACCCACAAGGCGCCCCCCAAGAGACAGACGGGCTCCAGACATGCACACGCACACACATGCTCGTGTAGTGGTGCCAAACTGCCACGACACATTGCAGAGAATGCCAGAGGCCTCCGAGAGGATCTCCAAGTGCTCCCGACCGAGAGATCCCCAAGAGGCGCTGATGAAGCCGCCGCCGCCGCCACCGCCGTCGTCGTCGTCCTCCTCCTCCTCCTCCTCCTCCTCCTCGCCTTGGGGGGGGCGGGAATGGTCAGGACCCCGCCCCAATAATGAGTAATCTTGACGGGGGGGGTCCAGACCCCGCCCCCTCGTTTCGGGGCAAGGGCGGGGGGGGTGGACCCCCCCCCTGGCCAGCAGCATCAGAAACCGCTCTTCCACATCTCGGAAGCCGCCCACCGCCTCGGCAGGGCCCCCGCGGGCCCGCTCCCCGCAGGGGCCCCCACGACGCCGCAGGCTCCCCCTCGCCGGGGCAGAGGAGGCTGGGACCCCCAGGCAAGCTGCGCAGCCCCACTCGGCAGGTAAGGGAAGGAACGCACTCGCGGGCGTTCGGGCCGATGGCCCCTGAGCGCGGACCTCACCCCAGCTCGGAACAACACTTGGATGCAACATAGGTGTTCCCCCCAACACAGTGCTGTCGCCCAGAAATCTTACCTTTTGTGCTGTATCTTTGGCCTGGTTCCACGCATGTTCGCCCGGTCGCCGCCCGCCGCAGGCGGACCAGTGCTGGGACCTTCCACAACACTGCTGGTGGTGAGTCTCGACTTGACCTGTCAAGGTCTGACCTTCCTGTTGAATTATGTGGCTGATGGGAGATGCGCATTTGTCCTCCGCTGGGTCGGGCATGAAGCGCCTCCGCTTCGTCCCTGCGCCAGGCTGGCTAAATTCGCTGCACTCTGGCAGGCTCCGCGCGCAGGCGTACAGCATCCAGTGGTCATCGAGGTCGTCCTGCTCCTCCACCTTCACCTCGCCAGAGAAGAACTTGGACAACAGAGTCTGTACTGCCTCCAGCGCCTCCCTGGTGTGGACCTCCATCGCAATCCGGGAGATCAGCCGCCAGTGCTCTTCGCCCAGGCCTGCCAGCACCTCCGCCTCGGCACCCTCCACGTCCACCTTCAGGAGCCCGACGGCGCCCACGTGCGCGATCGGATCGGCGACAGCGCCCGGCAGTGCCGCGCCCAGCAGGCGCCGCAGCACCGATGCCAGGCTCACGGCTTGCACCTTTCGAGTGGGGGATCGACTACAGCATTCATTTACCTCAAAATTTGTGGTCTGCCAGACGAACCTATGACAATACGCAGAGTTCGCGTCGATCTACGAACATTCTACGCCTCTCCCGTAGATTCGACGAAAACCTTGATTCTGGGGTGAATCAAATTTGTCCGTAAGAGGCTTAACGACTTCTGCCGTCCTTCGACTCGCGCTAGAGCGGCCGCAATTTGCTCCAACTGTCCCTGAAGGTCTCTGGATTTACCTGGATTTTCCCGGATTTAGCTCGATTGATATGCATGTACCTGGGTTTATCTGCATTTACTTGGATATGGCTCGATCCCCACAAGTCGATTGGTGAAAAGTCGTCAAGCCCTTGGGGATTTGCAGTCGATCCACTACTCGAACCTTCTCCACGCGCTCCTCTGCAAAGAAAAACTCGACCAATCGCTGCTCGTAGGCGCCAGAGTGCCGATGCCGCTCCTTTGCCGCCCTGTGCCTCTTGAGGGTGGAGTTCGACGAGAGGTGTGGCAGGACGCAGAGCTCGAGCTCCTCGTCCTTGTCGTAGGCCAGGCATGTTTCCCTCCCTACAGGCGGATCTTTGAAGAGAAATAAGAAACAGCCAAAAAATGACCCACAATGGTCAAAAGGAGTCAAAAAAGATCGTCTCCTGATTTTTTCTGCTATTTTTGAAGATTCGTCCTGTATTGGGACATGCCCGACTTAATCCTTGTCCGAGAGAGCCAAGTTGAAGCAGTGAACGACCACACAGGGCACGGTGTGCTGCAGCCCCGAATGCTCCAACCCCTCTGAAGCTGCTGGCTCCTGGGCTGCTCGGGGCAGAACGCTCGGAGACAGCCCCGCCAACGACACACCATGGTCCACGACCTGGACGCCCTGTTCCCGCAGGTTGCGCAACGCCAAATCGTAAGTCTCGGCGCAAGGCTCGAAACCGAGACAAGTGACGCCAGCCACGCTGGCGCCGCCCCCTCCGCTCGCGCCGGCGCCGGCGCCGCTGCCCCGCGTCCACGTGCGGGCCAGGTGCAGCGCGAAGAGCCCCAGATTCATGCCAGCATCGATCACGACGCAGCCTGTAGAGGCTTCCTAGACGGGGTCAGAGCAGATGGGGTCGGAGGATCGCGCCGTATCGCCGATGCATCGCTGATGCATCAGTGATGCACCGGCGATGCATCGTCGCCGTCGGCGATGCATCGGCAACTTCGACGTGAAGCAAATCGGGCTCCACATCGAGCCGCATCGGCGATGCATCGGCGATGTGGCGCGATCCTCCGGCCCCATCTACTCGGCCCCATCTAGGATCAGGTCGGGCATGTCCTCCTACAGGCGGAGCTTGGGAGAAAACTAAGAAAGCGAAACAAAAATCAAACAAAAAAAACATACTCAAAAGAGCACGATCAATCGTCACCAGACCATTCTCTACTGTTCTTGACTCCTCCTCATGTAGAGAGGGACCTGCCGATCTCATTCCAGGAAACTTCGAGCCTGGCTGCAGCCGCCCCACGTCGCCGTAGCAAGCCCGGCTGGCTATCTCGCTGTGCACGTACTGCACCTCTCCGGGGCACCGCGCCCAGACCTTGGGCGTGGCTTCATGGGGGGGTCATATACGTGGGGGGGGTCAGAAACGGTCCCTTTTCGTGCCACTCTCGGGCCCCTCCGGCGCCCCAAGGGGCTCGTTTGGGTACCTTTTCGGATCACATTTTCGACGAAAAAGTAAAAATAGTCAAACTTATGCAACAAAATCATCAACAATACTGCACAACATTGTCCCTCGACTATTCTTTAACTATTTCTGAATCATCCTCCTGTAGAGGGACAGGCCCGACTGAAGACCACCCTCGCCACCCCCCCACTTATGACCCCCCCATTACGCAACGCCCACAGACCCGCGGCGCCCCGTCGCCCGGGTGGAGGGCGACGCGCCTGGCGGGCCGCAGCGGCGAGGCGCAGTGGGCCCGGGGAGGCGCCGCGCCCTCCGCCGCGGACAGGATGGCGGACACGGCGGCGCCCACCCCGTCGGCGGCCCGGATCTGGGCGCCCAGCCTGTGGCTAACTACCAGACCACCTCAACCCAAGAATTTCGGGTTGGGCGGGGTACGGGTTTCATATGTGTTGTTTCAATGTTCCCCGACCCCCCCCGCCCACTGGAAATGGAGGGCAAATCGGGGCCTTTGGATTGGGTTGGGGTGGTTTGGTGGGCGGTGAGCCTGCTGGCTGCCGCCCGTGCACCATCACAGGAAGAGCAAGAACACAAGCATAAACTTTTGGCGCTCTGGGCGGATGTCTTGGATCTGCGCTGGGATCCCCCGGCGGCGCCGGGGGTCCAGCGCAGATTCAATAATTCCGCGCGGAGCGGCAAAAGTTAATGTTTATGGCGTTGTTTCCTCTTCGACATCAGCAGAGAGCAATCTCCTGAGTGCGCGGGACAAGACTGGAACGGTCAGCTCATCCATCTGTAAAGAATCGCCCACACCCAGCGCCCCCACCCGTTCGGCCCAGTAAGGCTGGTCGAAAGCGATGGGCACGATCAACTGCGGGATGCCAGCCCTGAGCGCCGCGATAGTGGTGCCGATGCCACCATGGTGCACTGCAGCGGAACACTCGGGTAGCAGGCTGCAGTGGCAGACGTCAGTATAGCAGAGCAACGCTCCTGGCCAGTCTCCCTCCCCAGGCTGCAACGCGAAATCACCCGCGGGCGTCTCCCTCTGGCACTGGGCAGAGAGCCCCTCGACCATGTGGACCATCACGACGACGCCCAGCTTCATCCACCTCAGCGACGGGCAGAAAGGGGTCTTACGCGAGATGGCACAGCGATCTTACGCCGCGGCTCACGCGGGCCGCCAGCGCCGCTCGCTACGTTGGAAGCGAGGGCGCGCACGCGCGACCTTACGCGGGCAGCTTGCGTGCAAATGCTGGCGTACACGACCCCGTTTTTCTGCCTCGCCCACCTGGCTGTGTCTACCACCACCTTTAGAACCGCGCCGGGGTCCTGCTGAAAAGGAGGGGCGCGCGCACACATCAACGGAGATCTACTGACCCGGGTCAATGCAAACCCGGGTCAGTCGGGCTTTGCAAGATCCTGCAAGATTCTACAGGGTCCTGCGCGCTAGCCCGAGTCAATGCACCCCTGGCCGGCGCTGTGGCTGACCCCTGCTTGTTAAGTGGGCCTTTCTGGACGCTCATTTTAACATGCAGAATGCACTCCTTTGCACTGTAGTAGAAACCACTAAAGGCCACTGAAGGCGAACAAAGGATGCTCAAAGCCGCTAAAGGCCACTGAAGGCTGCTAAACGGCGACTGAAGGGCGCCAATGTCCGCCAATCCACCGACCCTGTCTGCGTGTGTGAGGGGCTTGTCCGTGCGAGTCGTCGTCTTCGTGGTCCGTCAGTCGCCGTCTCTGTCGTCCCCTTTCCCTGCTCCCCCCTGTTCCCTGGGCCCGTCGCCGCTCCCCCCCTTTCCCTGGGCCCTTCTCCTCAAGCGCTGGGCCCGTCGCCGCTCTCCCCCCCTTCCCTAAGCCCTCCACCTCAAGCGCGCCAACCAAAACAACATTGAGCAACGTCGAAATTCACTCGAAGGGAAACCCCTTCCCTTTGATCCCTCCCCCGCCGGGAGAGGGGGGGGTCCAGGGGTTCAGGGGAGGGTCCCAGGGGGGGTCCGGGGTCAGATACGACTCCTCGCCGGGGGGTCCCGGGGCCCAAGAAAACCTCAAGACGGGCCAAGAGTGCCCCAAGAGGCCCCAAAGACGGTGCAAGAGGGCCCCGAATCGCCGAACGATGTCCAAGACGCCTTGACGGCCCCCAGACGGCCCAAGAGCCCTGCAAGACGTCCCAAGAGGCCTCCAGGAGAACTTCCAAGAGGGCCCCAAGAGGACAAATCACTGATTTCCCATTTGTTTTTGAAGCATTTCGGCGTTCTCGCCTCTTCCGCTTCCCGAAGCTCCAAGCCAGCCCAAGAGGCTCCCCAGATCGCCCCAAGACGGCCCAAGAGGGCTCCAGGAGGGACCCACAACGGCCCAAGAGGGCTCCTAAGACGGCCCAAGACGCATCCAAGACGGCCCCAGAGGCCACCAAGACGGCTCCAAGAGGGTGCCCAGACGAGGGGCCAGATCGGACATTTCGAGCCCTCGGCCCCGAGAGGCTCCCAGGAGGAACCAAGAGGCCTCCAAGAGGCCCTCAAGAGGCCCCAGGAGGCCCCCAAGAGGCCCCCTGGAAGCCCCGAGAGGCCCCCGAGAGGCTCCTCACAGGCTCCCAAGAGGCTCCCGAAAAGCCCCTAAAATGTCCCCCAGAGGCCCCCGAGAGCGCTTCGAAGAGACCCCAAAAAGCATATATGAGGACTCTGATCCACGTCAGCGTCGTCGTTGCCGCCGCCGCCATTGTCGTCGTTCCCCTTCAGGGTCGGCGGCACCGGCCGTAAGGCCTTCGCAATAATACACCAAAGGCCGCTAAAGGCCACTAAAGGAGACCAAGCCTCGCCGGCATAGATCAGCATGAACCCCAAAAAAGACTCACCTGACGTTCGCTGACCCTCGTCTAGCTGGACATCAGCTCCCTGAAATGTCGGGGATCTTCTGACCCGGGTCAATCCAAACCCGGGTCAGTCAGGCCTTGCCGAATCCTGGAACATCCTGCAAGACCTGCACCCCAACCCGGGTCAACTCGAAGGATCCTGCAAGATGCTGCAGGATCCTGCACCCAAACCTGGGTCAGTGCAACCCTGGCCCTGCAAGATCCTGCAAAACCTGGCGCTCTGGCTGACCCCCGCTTGCATTGACCCCCGTCTCAAGTCGGGCCCGACGAAAGGGGGGGATAGCAAAGGGGGGGGTTGAGAATCAGCTCACGTAGCTGATTTTCCTGGCGCCTCCCGGCGCCGGAGGCGCCCATGTATCGAGGACTGGGCCCGGCGGCGGGGCCGAAACTGTCTGCATGCAGCAGATTTCGTAAGCCCCCCTTTCCCTATCCCCCCCTTTCGTTCGGCCCGATTAAGGCTCCCGAAGGTGGTCCCGGCTGGCCTCCCCGAGGGGTGGAGCGCGCCCCGCCCCCAGGGCGGGGGGGTGGCACGGGGTGGCGGCGCTGGGGTGCCGAGGCCGCCCCAGGGGGGGCCTGCGGAGGCGCACTGGGACCGCCTCTTCGAGGACTGGCTGTGCGCAGCGTCCCGACCTCTGCCCTGGGGGTCTCCTTCACCGCAGAGGGTCTACACTGCGCGAAGAAGAGCGGCGCCGCGGGGGAGGGGGAGAACGAGGAGGGGAAGGACGAGGAGGGGGAGGACGAGTTGTCAATTGCCAGCCGAGAACTTAGGGGTGCGGGGGCGTTTCGCACTAAAAACCCTTCCAGATTAGGTCCGAGTAGATCGGATCGGAGATCGGCGACGTCGTGGTGGGGTAGGGCTCTACATCGAGCCGCATCGTCGATGCATCCCATCTATTCCGACCCCATCTGGGAGACTCCTTGCACGCTCGAATTATCCGGGGTAACTCTGGTCTGGGGAAATTCTGGTTTGGGCCCCCGAGGCACGAAGCAGGAGTCACCCCTGACAAAACCCCAGCCCCGATGATTCGGCAGTGGTTGGAAGCCCGAACTATCGGGGATAAGTAACTCTGGTCCGGCGCAACTCCGCTTTGCTCCACCGAGGCACGAATCAGGAGCTACACTTTAACCCCCTAGCCCTAATGATTCGGGGCTCTGAACTCCTCTACCCAGTCCGCGTTTGGGCAAGCAGCCTCCTGTCTCAAATGGGACAGCGAGCCCTGTTCAAAATGGACAGGAACTGCTGACGGTCTTCATACCCATTCTTTCCGCACGCACTTCGATCGTACCGATAGTAGAGGCATCCCCGATGGGGTCCGAGTAGATGGGGTCGGAGGATTGCACGGCATCGCCAATATACCAACGACGCATCGGCGACGTCGGCGTGGAGAAAATCGGGCTCCACATCGAGCTGCATCGGTGATGCATCAGCGGTGCATCAGCGATGCAACGCGATCCTCCGATCCCATCTACTCGGACATCATTTGGAAGACCTCAACTGCTGACGGTCCCCGTACCCATTGAGGGGCAAGCAACGATTGGGGAGGATTGGCACAGGGGGGGAACTATCGACCTAGAATCGGCAACACATCGCCGATAGATCGGCGATAGGCCCCCCGATAGCACAGCCCAGCGTTCCTGGACGGGGTGGGGGGCTATCGAGATCGAGCCCCTATCGGCGATGATTGGACGATGGGGGGTCGATGCGCCCCCCCCCCAGGGCCAATCCCGACCCACTCGTTCAATCGCACCCACTAGGGGAACGAAAAATGACATAAACTCACAGGTCCGCGCGGATTCCTTGGATCCTCGCTGTACCACCTCCCTGGTGCGCGGAGCGCGCCAGGGGCGGCGCCGGAGGCGCCGCCAGAAGGGTCCGGCGCGGATCCCAGGAATCCGCGCGGACCTCCGAGTTCTTATGTTCATGTCACTGTTTGTTCCCCTACCCACGGGCTCCTCGGGAGACCATGAGGTACCGATACCGCTACTCCCTGGACCTCTCCCGGGGTGCATTCTGACTTGAATTTCGAGGCGACTCCAACGGCGGCGACGAGGGCCGCCGAGGAGGCCCCAAAAGGGGGAAAACGGGGGGAGGGTGGAAGTATAGGTACCTCTTCCTCCCCTGGGCTCCTGCACCCAGCCCGCCCTCCCCATGCTGCCGAAGCCCGCGTAGAAAGGCCCCCCCGCGGCCCCGGGCCGCGCGCGGATCCAATGAAACCGCGCGGACCTCCGAGTGATGTTTATGTCGCTGTTCGTTCCCCTGCCCACGGGCTCCTGCACCCAGCCCGCCCTCCCCGGCAACGCAGATCTCGGGGGCTCCACGGCAACAATCGCGTGATCCACATGTGTGTCCGTATCCATGGGCGACAGTCACAACATGGGTATGGATTGCTGTGCTCCTGTACCAGGGTATGAGCTACTGTGCTGCTAACCCCCCCTCTATACTTGAGCAGGGACCGACCGTCCCAGCATTCCTGTAGTCCTACGACGACATGTTCCTAGAACCCAAGAATGTTCTAATAACAAAAACAACGTTCTTAGAACATGAGCCCGATGTGATAAAACAGGACAGACTCCGCCAGATCTGTTCTGAGAACATGTCGTGGAAACCACAAAGAGGTTCTTCGAAAACTGCCTGGTAGGGCTGTAGGCGAGCCAGGACGCTTCGCCACTGCTTGATACACCCACGGGCTCCTGCACCCAGCCCGCCCTCCCCATGCTGCCGAAGCCCACGTAGAAGGGCCCCCCGCGGCCCCGGGCCGCGCAGCCGGCCAGGAACGCGGCCAGCGGCGCCTGGAGCGGGCCGCCGGCCCCCGCCGGCGCCCACGCCCCGCACACGGCGGCCCCGGGCGGGAGCGAGGCCCGCTCCTGAGGACTCCTCCTCCTCCTCTTCCTCCTCCTCCTCCTCTTCCTCCTCCTCTTCCTCCTCCTCTTCCTCCTCCTCCTCCTCCTCCTCCTCCTCCTCCTCGAGGTGCCCGTGCCGCTGCGGCCGGCCCCAATAAAGGGAAGAGAACTATGCACATACTCCAAATCCCTTAGGAATCGATCCCCCACCCCAAAAAACCAGACCCCCCTGCAAGTGCGATCTGATATTCCGGACCCCCCTCTTCGAAGGGGCGCCTTGAGAAACCGGACCCCCTAAGCTCCAATCCAAAGAAAAACGTCCTAATAAACAGGATCCCCCCAATTACAGAAAAGGCGCTCCAAAAAATCAGACCCAGAGGACGATTAATAAAGGATTTGGAGCATACTCGAAATCGGCCGGACCCAATACCCCAAATCCCTTCTTGATCGTCCCCCGGGTCTGGTTTTTTAAGGCGCCTCTTTTGTAACGGGGGTGGTCCGGTGTTTTAAGGCGCTTTCTTTGGATTGGAGCGTAGAGAGTCTGTTTATTAAGGCGCCCCGTCGAACAAGGGATCTGGAGTATTAGGTCGCATTTGGAGGGGGTTCCGATTCTTTAGGGAGGGTCGATTAATAAGGGACTTGGAGTATGTGCATAGTTATCTTCCCTCTCTTGAGGCCGGCCTCAGCGGCCCCGAGCCCAGGGCAGAGAAGAGCATTCGAGGGTACCCTCCACCAGGTTTGCACAGGAAAGAGGCCTCTTAGATTGGGTCCGAGTGGATGGGGTCGGACGATCGCGCCGAAACGCCGACACATCACCGATACATGCATATATGTAGATATTATCGGCTATGTGCCGGCGATGCACCGTCGACGTCGGCGATGCATCGGCGACGTCGACGTGAAGCAGATCGGGCTCCACATCGAGCCGCATCGGCGATGCATCGGCGATGTGGCGCGATCCTCTGGCCCCATCTACTGGGATCCCATCTGGGAGGCCTGGAACGAAGAACATCAGGGTAGCCTCCCCGAATCGACCTCGATCCTATACCTCGGTCCGACCGCACCCATGCCGTTGCCCTTCCCTCGTTTTCTGCTCCTTGGGCCTCCTGCGCAGGCCCTCGTCGCCACCGCCGGACGCGCCCCGACATCCTGATCAGAGCGCATACACGTCGGCTGGAAGAAGTAAGTAAAACAATTGAATAGGGCGGCGCTGGAAGCAGATTGGGCCTCCGCCCGCCCCCTTAACAGGAGGGACGAGGCAATACTGCTCAACTAGAGGCCTCCTAGATGGGGGCGGAGTAACTGGGGTCGGAGGATCGCGCCACAACGCCGACGCCGATGCGGCTCGATGTGGAGCCCGATTTGCTTCACGTCGACGTCGGTGATGCATCACCGACGTCGAGGATGCCTAGATCACCCCCTGAGGTAGGAAGGCGCCTGAAGTATATTGGGATCTGAGAGCCCAGAGATACCTGAAGGGGCCCAGGGACACACAAACAAGTACACACAAATCCCAGGATTCCCCCTATTTCCTCGACATGTACATATAAGGGGTTTTCGTCTTCCCACCCCTTCCCACGTTGTCCTACATTTTCCTGGGGATCGACGACTAATTGTGTCTGTGTGTTTTCTTTCCCGCCCTGAATGCCTACTTTCGACCACAGACGTCCAGCGGTGTCGGTGTTCCGTTTGGCCTCCCCAGGCTCCGGCTCGCCGAGCAGCGCGCCGGGCAGCCCGAGCAGGAAGCGCCCCGGGCGCAGGCTCTCTTCGGCGGCGCGCCCGGGGGGAAGGGGGCGGAGGCGAGGGCGGGCTCTCGTTGCGTCCGCTTTCCCAAGGTCCGAGGATCTGTTTTTCTCAAACGAGGTGTGTTTTTTCCTCCTCGGTTTCGGCTTCCTGGGCGCGCTATCGGGTCCGGGGACCCCAGGGACCATCAGAAAGGATGTTTGTTTTTCCTATGTTTCGGCTTACTGGGCCCGTGAACAGGCCCGGGGACCATCCAAAATGGATCCGGGACGTCAGACTTGATGATCGCACCCGAGGCGCTCGAGGGGGGAACCGAGCGGGGCAGGACGGACCAGCAGACGCCCATGACGATTCATTAGTAGTACGCAGACGCCAACTTGGGAGGTCGGGGTGGCCTTCCTGGGGCCGTCTGGGAGGCCACCGGCGTACACAAAGGGGGGCAGGTGGAGGGGGAGGGGGAGGAGGAGGAGGAGGAGGAGGAGGAGGAGGAGGAGGAGAGGAGGAGGAGGAGGAGGAGGGGAGGAGGAGGAGGAGAGGAGGAGGAGGAGAGGAGTAGGCGGAGGAGGAGGAGGAGGAGAAGGAGGAGGGGGAGGAGGAGGAGGAGGAGGAGGAGGAGGAGGAGGGAGGAGGAGGAGGGAGGGGAGGAGGAGGATGAGGAGGAGGAGGAGGAGGAGGAGGAGGAGGAGGAGGAGGAGGAGGGGGAGAAAGGGGGGGAGGAGGGGGGGGAGGAGGAGGGCTGCTTCGACGGGGGCTGCTTCTTAGAAGACGCGTTAAGGGGGGGGGGGAGTGGGGGGGCAAAGGGGCGCGAGCGAACGCCCAAACCGGCCCTGCTGCGATCAGGGCAGGGATTGACAAAGATCACGTCGGCGGCTGCCTGGGTTCGTGTCGTCCTCTTTCGACTCGTCCTCCCGTTCTGCCTTCGAGGCCCGGGCGACGGGAAGCCGGACGGAGCGAAACGGACGAATCGAATCGGACGAAATATGAAATCCGGGCGAGGCGAAGCGGCATCGTGCGCGAGTGGGAGAAGGCCTTCTCAGAAAGCGGCGGGGCTTCTCGAAAGCCCCTGGCCTTCTGAAAATTGTCTGTCTTCGGGAGAGGCTCAGACAACTTCTCAGAGGGCCTGAGGCCTTCCGAGCCATCTGAGAAGGCCCCCCCCCCTCTCGCTCCACCCACCCGGTTGCGCCGCCGATCTGTGGCAGCAAGGAGTCTGCCTCGTCGTAGCCAGGCACGGGCGGCAGGCCGAGCAGGTTCTCGCGGAAGAGGGCGTGGTTGTCGGTGAAGAGGGGCCAGAGCCAGGACCCGATGTGAGCGACGGAAGAAGCACGGCTCTTGCGCGAGACGACGTAGCGACCTTCCTCCGCGGCTCACGCGGGTCGCCAACACGGCACGCTACGACAGTGGGAACGAAGGCGCTTACGAGCCATCTTACGCGGGCAACTTGCGCGCCACTGTCGTTGCACACGACTCCGCTTTTCTGCGTCGCTCATGTGCTGCCAGGTCCACCCGGGCATGCTCCCAGCGAGGATCGCGGCATGCAGCTCTGGGAAGTCGGTCTTTGTCAAGCCCCCGTGAACGGGGACGTCGCGAACGGGGGCGCTGTGCGGGTCCAAGGGGTGAGAGCACAGAGTGGAGCAGGGCTCAGCGCCTGGCTGCATTTGCACCAGGGGGAGATCACGTCCACGCTCGTTAACGTCCCTGTCAACGGGGCCCTGATCTTAAAATGCTTCTCGAAGTCCGGTGGCGCGGCATACGGCACAAGTGCAGGAGAGGCACACACCCACGGCGCCCCGAGCCTCTCGGCCAGGTGGTACACGACGGCCATGCTAAATCCGCCTACCACCGCAAGCTGGAGGTGACGGGACGTGTAAGATGTCTGGCGGTCCCCTTCCCTCTGTTCTGCTCCCCATCTCTGGAGTCCTAGACTCCGCTGGAGGGAAGAAGTGGGTGCGGGGGACGAGCTCGCCAACGAACATGGAGGGCCAAAGTGGCCCCCAATGTGCCTTCATCCTACCAGCCCTCTCTGAGCGTGGGTGGTTGGGTGCTACGGTGGGACGACGAAATGTTGCAAGTTGTTCCTGACCGCGCACGGCTGCACCTACATTACGACGCCACCTCGACGAACCACCCCCGCCACCTACATGTCAATGTTGGCATCGAGCGAGCACACCAAGTCCGGGAGGACAAGATTATGCAAGTCAACATTGAAATGTGTGGGGGGGAGTTCCTCAGATCGATGCAATCTGATCCAAGTTGGCACGCTGTTTCTCAAAACGATCAGATAACTTGCGATATGTTGTCCGCCCACTGTAACGTTTTCAAAACCATCCTTCCCCTTGGGGATGGGCTTACTCCTCATGCGCGTGCTCAACCATTCCCTATGCTAGACGACGTCCACCCCAAACCAGGTGAGCGTTTTTTTAATTGGGCGTTTCGACATTGGGCGGAAAGGGGGGGAAGGGGGTCTGGCTCCGGATCTCTGCTTACATCGCCGCTCCGAAAGTTCCTCGAATTTTCTGAATTGGGCCCGGTGGCATTGTGTGCTCACCTACTTCGCAGCCCTCTTGGCAACGGCCACCCATGGGGTTGAGGGGCAGGATGCGTTGAACCCCCCTCCCCTCCTAGAAGCCTAAGAAAATAGCCCTCTTGCGTGGTTTCGACGGGATCCTTGGCGAGTAGTTCTCCCTTTTAATAATATAGTTCTAGTCTGGCCAACCGTAAAACCCGCCCATCAAAAATGGGGTCCGGATAAATCCCGCGGTGGGACCCAATCCCGCCAATGTATACGTGTTCGGGCCATCCTGAAGTCATCGTGAAATCATCCCCAAGTCATCTTAAGATCATGGTGTTGCACTCTCGGAATGCTCCGGCCACCTCGGGGTCGCTCGGGGGCCACCGCACCTTGTCTCCAGGGCATCGCTCACATCTTGGGCCGTCTTGGTTTCGCCCCAGGCCATTTTGTCGCTGCGTCTTGATCCTGCAGGGGCCACGGGGTCTTCTTGGGGTCGGCCCGAGGTCATCGTCGTGCCCGTCTGAGGCCGTCGTGGAACCATCTTGGGGCCATGGGGCCGCCTAGGCATCCTGTCTGGGTCGTCTGGAGGTATTCCGCGTTTCCAAGGACACTTTCCTTACGCCTAAGTAGTGCGGCTGTTTGCGACTCTGCGTCCTATGAGGGGAGACTCCACCTGCTCGAAACAGGCGCCCAAAACAGCCAGGATCTACTCCATTGGGGGGAAGGGGGGGGTGCGAGGGCCCGCGCCGATCGGCAAAACAAGAAATAAAAACACAATCACCAGCGAAGCCTCCTGGGTGCCTCTTGGGGGCCGCTTTGGGGGCTCCCGGAGGCTTCCTGGAGACCTCTCGGACGGAGCCTCCTGCGGCCTCTCGGGGGCATCTTGGTGCCAACTACGTTCGGCCCTTGTTGGCAGTTGTTAGCGTTTTGTTATTTGGCGTTTCGACATTGGGCGGGAAGGGGGGGGGTCTGGCTCAGGACCTCTGCTTAGTGCGACTGTTTGCGACGGGGCGTTATGTGGGGGAGACTCCACCTGCCTGAAGAAAGGCGAGAAGACATAGCCAAGATCTGGGAGGGGGATTTGGGAGCCCGCGCCGATCGGCAAAACAATGAATAAAATAACGATCACTTGGCAGTTGCATATTCAAGATCTGGAGTGGTTTGGGGCCATCTTGGGGCCTTCTTGAGGTCCTCTTGGGGCGTATGGAGCCTCCATCTTGCCCGCAAACGGGCTTTGAAGGCTTTTGGCCTTTTTGGGGGCTCTCTTGGGGCATCCTGGCACCATCTTGCGCCGACTTGGAGGCTGCCTTGGCTTGTCGTGTGCAAATATTGTCTTGTCTGGTAGCCTTCGGCTATTTTGTGGGCCTCTTGGGTCCATCCCACGCCAGACCCGTTGCCGCCCGGGGACTCCAGGAGTTCGCCCTCCATGTCAAGGGAAGTCAACATTACACCACGCCGCTCTAACTGTGGACTGTATGTAACCAACCTCGGAGTGAAGAACAAGGCACATATAAAAATCGTTGTTGGGCGACGCCTCGAATGTGAGGGTCGGGTGGACCTCTTGAGACTCTTCCGAAGCTCTTTTAGGGTACTCGTGGGGCCCAGCTGAAGAAGTTTGGGCTATCTGAGGCTCTCTCGGGGATTGATGGAGCCTTTGATTTCCTCGTGGGGCCGCTGTAAGGCCTGGTGAGTGTCAAGGGCTCTTGACCAGATGGCCTTTTCGACATTCGGAAAGGTCTGGGGCCCGCTCGGGCCTGTCTTGGGGTCCTCCCTGGGAGCCTCTGGGGCCGGCTTGGGCTCCTCCTGGGCCCGCCTTGGGGTATCACAGGTATTGCAGTCAGCGTGCTACCACACCAGAAATGCTAAGTCGGGAACGCAAAGGCTTTTCCTGAACACGACAAACCTCTACCACGATTAGGTTCCCCGACCTAAACTCTAAGGAACGACCTGGATATCGGAGCCCCTCCTGAACCTAAAGTGGCAGTCATTTCAGCGTCTTGTCTGTATTGGGCGATCTTACTCCTGAAATCTCGAAAGCCCATCAGAAGAGAAACACTCAAAGGGTATGTGTTTAAAACGAACGTCAGACTCCTGACATTGGCCTCTCGGGACCGTCCTTGGCAAGCTCCGCGGTGGCCTCGGAGGCCCCATGGAGGCGGTCCGGAGGCCTCTTGGAATCGTGGTGGAGGCTATGTAAGATCATGTTGGCCTATATTGGAGGGCATCTCGCCTCCCATGCCTTGCCGAAGCCAATTTAAGGGCGTCACACGCCAGTGCCGTGGCCGCAAGCCGACTAGAGGGGTTGACCCATTTTGTTAAGAGAGGTCATCCCAGGGGTTCTGGACAAGGGGAGCGTGGGGCGCGCCCAGTCCGAGCGTCCAAGACACTACATGTGGCCCAAGGCGGCCTCCAAGATCGTGCAAGAAGATCCGAAGATGTTCAAGACTGCCTCAGCCCTGCCTCGATGATGTCCACATGCCGCCTCAAGAAGGTCCGAGGTGGCAACGGAGCTTACAAAGCACGCCACGAGAGGCCCAAACTGCAAACAACTAAAAGAGAATCTTAATACGTGACCCCTGCGGGGTGTAATCCGGGTTGGGTCGGCTTCAGACCGCCCCCCTGGTTCGGCCGATGACCTCAATGATGCCTAAAAACAAAAATAGCGCCCAACTCGGTGTTCAGAGGGTTCCGAAGGATGTCAAACAGCATCCCAAGCGGGCCGCATGAGGCATCCGATAGCCTCACAAACTCGCAATTGGCTGTTGTCGGGGGCTGCATGGGTTTAGGCCAGTTTCGAATTGCACGGTGTTCCCGTCCTTGTGTTACCGATGCTTCCTCATCGCCGTTCTCACGACAAATTGCCTGGTAGTCGTTTTTGGACGGGCCGGTGAGGAAATGCATCGTGCCCAGAGAAAAAAAACAATTTGGCAGCGTCGCACAATATAGCCCGAGATGGCGTCCAATACCGCCCAAGATTGACCAGCACAGCCCGATATGGTCCGGGCGGTAGCCCGTGATGGCCCGAGTTGGCTGCAGCATGGCTGAAATAGCCAACGACCAGGAGGCCTCCCAAGGCAGCTTCTCAGATGCGAAAATCACAACAAAACGATGCTGCCCAATGCCTGTTCGGGTTTCCCGCTTTTGCTGCCGCGAGTGGGCTCCGCAAAAAGATGACAGCAAGGAGGCTCAACGAGAAGCCAAACAAATCCACAAACCTGCCCATGGGTCCAAGGAGAAAGTTGATAAAGTTCCAAAAGTTCCTGGCGATTCACATGGCCCAGCAGGCGGCCTGATTGGAACTTCGCGAATCATCCCAGCAGCCTTGTGGGCGTAGTTGTGGGATGTACGGGAATAACTATATGGAATGCAGAGACACAAATTCTAAATAGGGGGGGCCGTGCTTAGAGAAAGAGAGAGAGAGAGAGAGAAAAAAAGAAAGAAAGAGAGAGAGAGAGAGAGAGAAAAGAGGGAGAGAGAGAGAGAGAAAACACACGTTCTCTTTCCATGTACGGGGGCTCGCGCGCGCCCGCTGCCAGCGCGCCAAATAACTCAAGGGCCCTGCGAGCCAGAGCAGCGGCAGGGCAAGGAAGGTGAGAGCGAAGCGCAAGAGGAGGTGAAGCTGCAATGGGAATCACAACCACAGTTCGTACCCCTCTGTTTCAGCAGAATCCGTAGCCGACGCCGCAGCTCACCGCGAACGTCTTAAAAGTGTCGTAGCCACTGTAGACACTGCCACTCATGATGCCGTTGGCTCGGCAGTCCCCCCGAAATCACCCGCGACATGCAAGCCGCGCGAGTGCTGAGACCGTTGGGCGCCCTAGGAGACATCTCCCAAAGGATTGTCAACCTTCTCCCCGTAATCGGATCCTGACTCGCCCGCAATTTTCCCCATTTCGATCATGGGGCTCCTCGGCTCAATGTTGTTCGGCCAGAAGGGAGTACTAGTCCACTCCAAAAAAGCGCGAGCTGCTGCGCTGAGCTCCACGGTCTTATGTGGGCGCCATCGCTCTCACCTCGGAACGAGTGCGGGACGAGGGGGTCCAAGGCCAGATATCTCCAGGTCGGAGTCCTCGATCGGGTCATGCGAGTAGGCGCGCGCGCTCGAAAACGTAGTTGGGAAAAACTTCGTCGCGAGATAAATCCCGACCGTGTGGTTCCACAGCTGGTACCATCGAAAGACAGACTCCTCCTTCTTGACCTCGTCGTAAATCTCATTCATCGTAGTAGTGTGGATCCAGAACGCAAGACTTGGCAGCGCAAGTGCTGCCGTCATCCTGACACCACTTTTGCAAGCGTGCACCTCAGGATACTTCGCCCGTCGCTC